ATAATAAGAACAATTTCAGGCATATCTGTCAGTTCTTTTTCTGTCACTGTTTTCCAGCTGTACTGACGTAAAGACTGGTCATTCCACGAGTGATCTGTGCTTAGTTATGTGCCAAATGTGGTAATCCCTGAGCCAAGGGGTGCTGTAGAGCTGCCGTTGAAGATACGCTTTAACGACAAGTCACTCGTTCAATCGACGCCCATTTGTAAATGCTTTTTTTTATTTGAAAGATTAAACATGTTCGGACAGCATTCACACTGTTAGAGAAAACGGAGGGACAACGTCTTTGACAGCTACTTCCCCTCCAAAGATGTACAATTAGTTGACGCTGTGTTGTAAAATAGACATTTGCAAAATCTGCTTTTTTTCTTCCAGAAAATCAGTGGTTCTTAAGCTCATCGTAGACAAATCTGTCAATAGAGTATGGATATATATTATATAAATACAAAATATATATATACTTTTTATGTGCAGATGTGGATGTCACCTAACGCAGAAACATTGCAAAGAAAAAAAATGCTAGTTTAAAAAAAAAAAAGCATAGGGTTTTGTTCACCTTGATTTCTAACCAGATGTTGACCTCCTGTTGTCATGTTGTTGCTGTGTAAAAGAGGCGAGACCAGGGCTCAGTGAGGGCCGATGTGTTTAATATTGACTTGAAAAGGTGCTAAAACCACGCTCTAACACCTTTTGGCACACACCTTGCTACCTTTTATTAATGCGTTTTGAATGTGCTTCGTGTCCTTAGCAAAATGGATTCCACTAAAACGAATAGCTTCGAATCTAAAAGTAGAGCTGTGTGCGTTTAGACACACCTCTTGAGTTACTTTTTTTTCTTCTTGTAGGTAATTGCCTATATCTCAGGTCATCTTATTGCAAGAGAAGATGGGTGAACATTCCTCTTTTGACTGAATGGAGAACAAAGAATGAAACTACCCTGTAATTTTTGGGATTTTTCAAACTGTAAATTTCAAGTCTGGCAGAAAGAGAGGGAAGGTCTGAAGCAAGCCCTGGTCTTTCCTTCATGTCATTTTACACTTAGGTAATTGTCAGATGCAAGGATTCAGGACGATCCCCGAACTCACATATGTTCAGCACCATTGATAGTGAACGTCTAAGAACAAGCAAAATATCTGTGAAAAAGTAGACATATCAGACAACCTGTATTGAAGATGTAAGTAAAACTTTTTTTTCTGTTGCTAGACAAAGTGTTTGAGAGAATTGTGAACCTTTTTAATGCCAGGTTGCAACTGCTATATAAACTAATGGAGAATCACCGTTTTGTGATTTCTTTGGTTCTGTGTCTGATTTATTTCCTTTATTTGGATATTTCCAAAGGTAAGTTTGGTATCAACGTGTACTTTATTGACAAATTTTATTGAAAGAGGTCCTATTATGCCCTATTATTAAGTCTAGAGACTGTTTGGGAAGGAATGGCTGACATGAAACTGACGTTTCGACACAGTGTCGAGATCCCGAAGCACAAGTGTTTCGAAGTACTGCACCAAAGCATGATCCAAAACACTCAGGTCATGTGATTAAGGTGATTCGAATCACCCAGGTCACGTGATTAAGGTGTATTGCAACACTTGGTCACCTGACTAATGCAATTTAAAGCATTGGCCATTTCAGAAGCATTTTGAGACCTAGCGAATGTCTGTTTCACTGACAGAGTTGGAAAGAAATTCTATCCCATGTAGCCTAGTGGATCACTCTTACAGAGTGACTGTACTGCAAAAAGCCTGAATTCGAATCTCGATGAATCCTGAAATACTCTGAAATTGTGACGATGTATTTTAATAATGTTACTTTTTAATGATCAAAACAAGACATATTTGTTCCCAAAGTGTTTACTGGGATGTCAGACCAATGTTAAAACAAAACACGTTACAAGAGCAGCACTTTTAAAAATGCACATCTATAGCTGCATTAATCTGCATTCGAACCCATTATCTCTGCATGCTAGTCTGGAACTCTCACGGCTTCATTAAAACACTTAAAGCCTCGACCCTAAAACGAGGTGTTTAAAACCTCAACCTCTTAACTGTTTTTTTTGCTGAATCTGTTCAAATTGCTTATCACTGCAAATCTCGTCACATAGCATTAGGACATGGGGTTGCAATGTAACCAGCTTACCTAATGCTCATGCTTGATATTTATGTTATTATCTAATTAATAACCACCTCAAGCGGAACTCTGAGTCTGCGTCTGATTTCAGAGTCTGCTATTGTCCACCAGAGGTTGCATTTCAGTCGCTGGATGCATGCTTTGAGAGCCTTCATGACTGAATGAATCAAATATACGGTTTTCCACAAAGGCAACCCTGGGTGCTGAAATATAATTGGCTAACTGGCATCGGGCAGGTTTGGTGTCAAAAACTTACATACACCACCTTGAAAACTTTTAGTTCATTTTTATGCTCAAACATACACACTACAAACTGACATTCAAAAGGTGAAAGAAGCATAATAGGACCCCTTTAAATATACTGCATATGAACTAGGGTTTCATCCAGACCAATTCCTCTTTTATTTTACAAAGATTTACCAGACACTTTAACAGCACAGATATGTTTATCGGTTTACTCTACCACATTTTTGTGTTCCAGACATCAACACATAAGAGATTTCTGTTACCTTGTACTGCCTTGAGTTTTCCATTTATTGTATTTTTGATAGAATTCCTAGATAGCCATCAAAGGCCAGGCGAGCAAGCCATGAGCTCCTGTTAGGGTTTCATCACGACTGTTTCATTACCATTTTCCCCACAGAGAGCCATCTTGACATTGACAGGGTATGTGCTTCTCACGTTGTCCTGAGAGCCAGTTTGTAGTATAAAAAAGTGTGACAGGCGCTAAACGACATCCCCAGCCTACAGCTCTGAAACACCAAGCCTTTCACATCCATTTATGTTTAATCTCATCAATGCTAATATATGAGAAAGTATCAATCGATACAAGACCATAGAAATGCAGTGATGCTGTTGGTTTGTATTGCTAATTTACAATACGTACGGTACAAGATTAAACATGGTAATTGAAAACATGCATTTTTAGAGCTGAAATGGCCACATGTCTGGATTGTGTGTTTTGGGAACATGAAGACTTACTTGACTGAACAGATGTCAGACTGACCCCTACTGGTGATGTATTTCGCAGTTCATTTGGCATTACTGGAAAAGATGCACTGCTGTAAAATGATTTCATTTGACATCATCATTGAAATTTGTAAAGAAACATTTTGATAACAAAAGGTAGATCTTCTATCTAGACCAGAGATGCCCAAACTTTTACTTATGGAGGGCCAAAAATCAAACTGGATTGAGGCTAGTGGGCCCAAAGTAAATCAAGTTGCCATGGGTAATTTCCCAGTTTATTTAATAATGTTTAGAAATGACTAGAAAAAGTTGCTTTATATTAACTAATACAGATTTTTTTATATTGAATAAAACAATAAAATCAAAACAATCTCATTTATAACAGAATTACACTACTTTTTGCCTTGATTTGCTCTCCAGTGTTTTCTGCATAGTCCTATATCTGTTGAGTGACAGAATTTACATTTTTAAATAATCAGATTCATTTACAACATTTAATTGAAACATTTTATTTGAGTTCGCTTTTTTTTGTAGCTCAGCAATAACACAAACAAAAAAGCTTACGTCAAATTAGAAATAACGATCTCTGTGTTAAAGACGTTCGTCCCAACCCTCTCCATCATACTCACTTCTCCTCAATGATGGGATGGTGGGCCAAATCAAAGGTTACAATGGGCATCTCTGATCTAAACAATAGAAGTTAGGCATATTGTAAGATTAAAAATCTACTATGTCTATACGTTCTGTGTAAAATTGTTTATATTTAATTTCTATAAAAACAAAATTAATTTAGGGTAAAGTTTTTTTTTTTTAATTTAATGTGCTTCATTTTTATAAAAACATTATTTTATTACAATATTGTAATATACCATGCTCCAGATTCAACAGTGATATGTGTGTGTGCACCCACTTCAAATGTTATCACTCGACTGAATGGGCATTAATCAGTGGTTATCAGCTCATAGATATGGGCCAATAGGCACCTTCTGCGCCACTAGGCTCAGAAAGCTGTTATCTTCCATTCACATGGTTAATAAGCTATACTAATAGACAAGACTTCAGATCCAGATCTGTTTTTATATAACTGTGATGGTTAGGTTTAGAGTTGGGGTAGAGGTAGACGCTAATAAAATACAACTAATGGAATTAAATTGAATAAATAATATAAATAATTCTCGTTGACTTCCGGTCGCAGCCGTATGTGATCTACAGCTGATTAACCATGTGGATGGGTGATAAAAGCCTTCTTCAAAGCCCCCCCCCCCTTGAATTTTGTTTGCTTTTTTTAAATATTGTGCAAATGATTTTTAACAGAGCAAGGAAATTTTCACAGCATGTCTGAAAATATTTTTTCTTCTGGAGAAAGTCTTAATTGTTTTATTTTGGCTAGAATAAAAATAATTTATAATAATAATAATTAAAAAAAAAACATTTTAAGGTCAAAATTATTAGCCCCTTTAAGCTATATATATTTTTCGATAGTCTACAGAACAAACCATCATTATACAATAACTTTCCTAATTACCCTATCCTGCCTAGTTAACCTAGTTAAGCCTTTAAATGTCACTTTAAGCTGTATAGAAGTGTCTTGAAAAGTATCTAGTCAAATATTATTTACTGTCATCATGGCAAAGATAAAATAAATCCTTTATTAAAAATTATTTCTATCCATATTTCTATCCATTATTAAAAATATGTAGAAAAAAATCTCTGTTAAACAGAAAGTGTGCGTGTGTGTGTGTGTGTGTGTGTGTGTGTGTGTGTGTGTGTGTGTGTGTGTGTGTGTGTCCATTACTGTAGCAGTGGTGTGGACTTTCATATTGTCATAGGAGTAGACCGATTATTATAGTTATTAACAGCATATATACTGACTTTACTGTACTTAGGTGAAAATGAGGCTGTAAGGACAACTTTCAAAACTTGCTTTATTATTTTACTACAAGCGTTATGGAGAAGATAGTTGAAAATATGCATTGAACATCGTATATTTATATCACCCACTTCATTCCTGTCAAAAATGAAGTATTTACTAGTGAAGTTCCACCTAACACATGACAAGTTCTATGAACATGCTTGATAAATAAGTTTATTTATTGTTTATCGAGTCTTTATATAACACTCCCTTTTACAAGTTCAGTCTTTTAGTGCAATATAAAAAAGAAAAAAGATTACTGTGCAACATATTTCAAGTAATGACTTGGCTCAAGAAAATTATTATAAAAAGAGCAAAAAAAAAAAACTTTAAATACACTATGCATAATGCCAAACATTTTGGGACACCCCTCTGAATCAATGAATTCAGGTGTTCCAATCACTTACATGGCCACAAGTGTATATATAATGTCTATCCAGACTGCTTCTTTAAACATATGTGAAAGAATGGGTCACTCTCAGGAGCTCAATGAATTCAAGTGTGGCAGCATGAGGTTGCAACCTCTGAAATACTGTAAGTACATTTATGGAATTTCCTCACTACTAAATATTCTACAGCCAACTGTTAGTGGTTATATAACAATTTGGAAGCAACTGGGAATAACAGCAACTTAGGCCACATTAAAATCACAGAAAGAGGTCACAGTGCACAGTAGTGGCCAGATTTCTGCATAGTCAATAGCTTCAGACATCCAAAATGTGTGTGGCCTTCAGATTAGCTCAAAAAGAGCTTGGAAGGGAATAGCTTCTCATAGCCAAGCAGCTGCATCCAAGCCTTACATCACTAAGTGCACTGCAAAGACTTGGATAGTGTAAAGCACTCCACCATTGGACTCTAGAGCAGTGAAGACTTTTTTTTGGAGTGACAAATCACACGTCTCTTTCTGGCAATCAGATAGATGAGTCTGGGTTTGGTGGTTGCCAAGAAAACGGTACTTGCCTGACTGCATTCTGCCAAGTGTAAAGTTTGTTGGAGAGAAGATTATGGTGTGGGGCTTTCTTTCAGGGGTTGGGTTTGACCCATTAGTTCCTGTAAAAGGAATAATTAAAGCTTCGGCATACCAACATTTTGCACAATTTTATGCTGCCATCTTTGATGGAACAGTTTGGAGATGGCTACTTCCTGCTCCAACATGACTGCAACAGTCCACAAATTAATGTCTGTAAAAAGATGGATGAGTGAGTTTGGTCCTGACCTCAACCCGACAGAATCTTCAACCTTCAGGATGAATTAGAGTGGAGACTCTGAGCCAGGCCTTCTTATCAGTAGCTATGTTTCCATCCAAAGATGTGAATTAAATGTATGCGCAAAACTGGAATATTGCATATGAGCAGCGTTTTCATCCAAGTAGTCAAAATCATCACTTACTGATTAACTGGCGGCAAATATAAACAGTAAAAATGGAATTAACTTTGGTAGGAGAAGCCATGTCAATCTTTTCTTCATTTAATAAATGACTTGTGCTCAGATGAAGTGCCGACATGCAGTGAATGTGTGGTGGCGTTTGAAGGCATGAGACATGGAGCACAGAAGCTCTTGACAGTTCTAGAGGTAATTAACAATATAATAACACTAATACTGAAATGGTTAAGGGTTTTAGAATGACCAAAACAACATGCTCAGCCTGCTGGTTTGTCCATTCACGCATATTTATCACCACATGATCTCTTAAAACAACAATCACATGACCTTTTTTAATGCGCATAATGGAATTTGTTTAGTATAGTGTTTCTATAAAAGTTTATGCACATGTTTTCGTATAGAATAAAAAGTTGATCCTACTTAGTTATGCCCAATTGCTTTTTATGCACATTTTTGAAACTTATGTGCATCTTGGCATTTCCATCAACCGATTTTTTTGCGCATATCAAAAATGCACGAAAATAGATGGATGTAAGGTAGCTAGTGTCTGACCTCTCAAATGCACTTGTAAATAGTTGGTCAGAAATTCTCACTCCTAAACCTTATGAAAAACCTTCTCAGAAGAGTTGAAGCTCTTACCGCTGCAAAGGGTGGGCCAACTCCAAATTGAACTCTACCAAGTAAGATTGAGATGTCATTAAAGTTCCTGTGCATGTAAAAACAAATCTCCCAAAACATTTGGCAATTTAGTGCAGGTTAGATGATTAAAAATTAGTAATCATCACCAGTTAAAAAATATCAGCCAGACTATGTAATAGAATTGAGGAGTAAAAGTCCTCTTCTAAAAAGTGAGTAATTCTCACAGACCTGAAACCAACAGTGGAAAACCTCTGTAAAACACTAAGGCATCAAAAGCCACTTTACTTTTTCCTCCCAATAGGCAATCTCAACCTTTCCATCTGTTCAGCTTTCTTCTTCTCCTCCTTTAGAGCTTTGTACTTCCACTTAGGGATCTGTAGTTGTGCTGAATCGTTTGAACTCCTGCGTGGCGGCCGCTCTGGCATGTGTATGGGAGGAGGAGCTTTGCACAGCATAACTTTAGGCACCACCATCCCAGGACGTACGCTGCTCCTGCGCATCATGTGAAGGGGCAGCAGGCTGTTTCTCCTCAAGGCCACAGTAGAAGCCATAGCGACACTGTGCAGTAACTGCGGCTGCAGGCTGGCACGGCGTTCCTGCTTTTTGGGCACCAGGAGAACCCTGGAGTTCTGGAAGAGCCTCTTGTAGTTGTTGAGGCGATCGGGTCCGAGGTTCTTCAGTTCAGCCAGCCGTTGTCTGCGAAGGATATCCTGCACGGCAGGACGCCGTTTTCCTACACACGGGGGGCTGCCCGGGCACACAGTGTGGCAGGCGGTGGCTATAAGAGGACTGGCCAACGCTGTGGTCATTCGCACAGTGTAGTCCATGACCCCTTCGTCTACAGGATTGGTCTTCATGCTGATGTTAAACATGTTACAGATACACTCTGAGAACTTCCTCCAGCAGGACTTAGGCTCCTTCGATCTGGCCACCATTTCGCTCAGCATAGGCCACCCCATGTGATAAGAGTCACAGAACTGTTCGGCACACGGTTTATCCATCAGTCTGGAAATCAGTTTGGCAGTCTCGTAGCGGCCTGTAAACAAGGCCCATTCCTGTGGTGTCAGTTTACGGCCAAAGTCTCTTGCTTCAATGTCTCCTCCTGCACAAAGAAAGACAAAGGGTTTTGTGGAGGAAAATGAATGCCCACTTGAAGGAACATAAAAGAAGATCATTATGTATGCATGAACTAAATTAGAAATCTGTATTCATTTTTCAGCTGATGATGCTGTACCTGTCATCATGAGAGACCGCACACATTCAGCTCGACCCTGCATGGCTGCTTTCATCAACGCCGTGAAGCCATGGCAGTTCCTACGCTCAGTGTCAATCCCAGGAAAATAGTTTAGCAAGTAGTGTGTAATCATACTGTGGCCTATAAATAAAAAAACATTTACATTCAAACAGGCACTCTTATTCAAAGCAGAATTATTATTTCATGCATTCACATGAAATCAAATTCATTACTTTGACATTGCTACCTTCATGATCTAGAACAGAAGTCAACCTTAGGCAATGTCCATAGGTAACTTTATAAACAGATTTTTTCCTGCCTTAATTATTTTCAAGAGTTCACACTTAGCTGATGATTGATTATAAAGCATGTTTGGCATGCTGTCCCGGGAGAGATCGCTGAGCTCATAAGTTCCTCGAGCCCGGGGCTCCCTCTTGTTTGCAGGGTGAGAGAGTTTGAGCCCAGGTAGATCTTGAGGACTCCCTTGTTTATTTATGGCTAATGACAAATTAGAGATTGCTATGAAGAGGTTAACTGCTGACTAAGAGCTCATCTATGGTGCCAACATAGTTTGGTCAATTTACTTATGCTACATGTCTTTGGACGGTAAAAAAAAATGGGAAAACCCTGGGGCAACCCACGCGAGCATGGGTGAACATGCCAACTCTGCTCAGAAACGTTGACTAGCCTGGTAAAAACTTGAACCAGTGACTCTTGCTGTAAGGCAACAGTGCTAACCCCTGGGCTGCCGTGCCCTATCAAGGAAAAGGGAGGAAGAGTAGAAGACGGGATTCATCAAGATGAAGATAACTGAGGTAAGAAACTCTAGTTATTTATGGTGACTTGAGAATCATCTGATTGGTGAATCATGTGTTAGCTAATGCGGGACCAGCTGTGGTCAATCATAAGCATGTGATCCTCTCGACATTAGTATTCACATAAGTGAGTTACATATAAAGTCAAGGCAAAATCGCGAACAGAGGCAAACTATCACCATGCTGCACAAAATGATTGGGAGTGTGGCACATTTGCTGCCTGGATTTCACCTCATTTGCTTCTATCACATTTGATGTGAACCCAGCAGCGTTGGTCAGTCAGAAAGCAGAAAACAGCATGTATGATGAAATAATGAGGCAAAAACACACGACCACACTGTGACTGAAGTTTCTGAATATTTTCACCCTGGCAAAGATTTCAGTTTCAACAAGGTTTGGGATTTAGGCACCTGTGCAGTCACCTGCGTGTAGGCCAAACCACTTAGAAAAAAATAGTGTTTTGAACAATTTTGTTTGTGTGAACAGGGTCTCAGTTCTTGCAGAGCTGCAGCCCCACAGGGTTTAGTTCCAACAGAGCTGCAGTTTCTAAATACATCTGAAGGTATTCATTAGTTTGGTCAGTTGTGTTTAATAACGGATGAATATAAATGGATCAAGACTGTGGGCCACCAGGATTAGAATTTGACACATTCTCTACAGCAGTAGTGCTCAATTACATTCACGGAGCCACCCAACACTGTTTGTCCTCTTAGTCAAACATCTGAATCAAACATCAGTTCACTAGCAGAGACTCCAAGACCTAAAATAGTTTTGTGAGACAAATGTACAATCCAGGGAGAGTTGCAGTAAAACTGCTCTACAGCATTAGGAGCTGTTAAATTACATGTATCGCATCTTTTAACATGCGTAAGTTCTTTTTTTTTCATGTGGCTTGTGTGCACAAACAGGAAGCAAAAAAGGAGTTGAAAACATCTCAACTTTTCAGAAAGCTGCAAGTGCACCATGAGTCATGTGACTAGAACTAACAAATCCGCCCATTTCAGTAAAAACAATGGACTAATTACCTCAGACAAACGTAACGCACACAAACACTGCAGTGCTTTTATCCGAGCTGCAGCAATGGTTTGTACAGCCATATCACCCTGCAGCCCAAGACCGGTTACTCACTGAAGCTAAGCAGGGCTGATCCTGGTCAGTACCTGAATGGGAGACCAATAGGGAACACTAGGTTGCTGTTGGAAGTGGTGTTAGTGAGGCCAGCAGGTGGCGCACAACCTGTGGTCTGTGTGAGTCCTAATGCCCCAGTAAAAGTGAAGGGGACACTATACTGTCAGTGGGTGCTGTCTTTCGGATGAGATGTTAAACCGAGGTCCTGACTCTCTGTGGTCATTAAAAATCCCATGGCACTTCTTGTGAAAGAGTAGGGGTGTAACCCCGGTGTCCTGGCCAAAGTCCCTCTATCGGCCCTTACGATCATGGCCTCCCAATCATCCCCTTCCACCGAATTGGCTGTATCACTGTCTCTCTACTCCACCAAAAGCTGGTGTGTGGTGAGCGCACTGGCGCCGTTGTCCTGTGGCTGCCGTCGCATCATCCAAGTGGATGCTGCACACTGGTGGTGGTGTGGAGAGACCCCCCTCATGATTGTGAAGCGCTTTGGGTGTATGGCCATACACAATAAATGCGCAATATAAATACACATACACATTGTTAGTTTGTTGTCTTCAGAGTGAATGGTTGATGATGCCTAGCACCAACAGACACCACAGGAGCGTAAATGTTGAAATTGGTGAGAAAAGTAAAGCACTTCCTGCTTTCCACATGCTTTTTAGATGCAATTTGTGAACTGCACTTTAAGCAGTCCCTTAATCAGGTGCTTCTGTGGGGTAATGGGTGCAATAACTGGAGTGACCAACTAGGAATATGTTGGAATATTCTAGGATGAAAATGCCAAGATTTATTTCTGAATGTGAAAGAAGGCTCCATTTTCATCTTTGGGATGTGTTTGAGCAGACAGTAGACACCCCAGGGTTCGATAGTGGGGTGCTTTCATTGTCAAGGTCTTGGCCAAAAATAAATTAAAGTCTTGATGGAAATGAACTGTGACATTGAGGGTTGATGAAATGATGCCATGAAGATGGGGTCCAGGTAAATTGGTCTTTCACCAAGACTGATAGACCTTGGCATTGTCATCCTGGAATATGACCATGGCATACATCTTGTGACGCAGTTGTTTAAAAAGTAAGAAGCTACACACTGTATCAGCTGGAGTTAAAAGAACTGATATAACAAGCCAGAAACATTATAATCATTGCAGTAATGATCCAATCGTAGACACTTTCTTGCTTAAATCCAGGGCTGGCAATGTATATACACTTAGAGCAGTCAAATAAAGACCCATTGGGATATACTAAGGGTTGTTAGGTATAACCGTATTGCCTTTAATAACTGATTCCCCTCACTTACCTGCTTGTGCAGCATTAATGAGAGCTGTATTCCCTTCATTATCCTGCCAATTCACGTCCACATGTGGGCACTGGGACAGTGCAATGACCACATCCACGTAGCCCTGGTAACACGCCACTATCAGACCTGTCTGTTAAGCAAAGAGGAAAAATATGAGCCATCTCAGCAGTCATTTACTTGAATGTCCATCATTACTGAAAAAGAAGGTGTTTAACGTGCAAAACTGCAGAGGCACTGAAGCGCTTGAACCCTGCTATAGAGCAGTTCATTCAAGGCTAGAGATTGTAGAATGGTGAGATTCCACACACATCTCCAGAGAGACTCTTCGGTCAGAGGCGTATTGCTTTGGTGGTCTCACTGATGAGGTCGATAAACTCAACATCTTCAGAATAAATTGGTGTCAACTGGTGTTTTGCAGAAGCATAATTAGATTGGCAAGCATATCATATAGTTAGATCAGTCAGTATTGCTGCACATTTCTATGAAAAGATCATTTATGTGCTTTTCTGAGCCCATATGAAAGAAAAATAACAGTGTCGAAGTGCAAATAGACCCTCAAATTGGTAAAGGCTGTTTATACTAAAGCTTCAAAAAAGACTCATTTACGACAAGAACAAGAACCTAAAAAATAATTAAATAAATAACTAAAACAATAACTATTTTAGTGTACACACATACATACAAAAATGTTTAAAGTCTGCACATGAAGGCTAACAGAAAAACAGAAAAAGCAGACCAACAATGATTAAAAACATCAGAGCTCACAACAGGTCTGTCTTTAAATGATGAAAATCAATGTACTTATGGAGAAAATTAAAGGAGTTTCACTTTTAACACCCAACTGTTAAATTCTATGGGAAAACAATCAAATAAGCGACTCTTTATTTGATTGATTGCTCATGTTGTGGTTAATTACTTGCAATGATTAAACAGTTTTAGCTTATTAAACAAAAAAAAAAAAACACTAAGACTCTAAATTACAATCATTTTAATCTGCTATACAATGGAGTATTATGTGTAAAGTGTAACAGATAAGTGAAATAACCTGTACATCTGAACACATACAAACACTGTGTACTAAACGCTGTGTCATACTTAAAATCACAAGCAATTCAGCTAATCTAAACGACACTAATGAGCGTGGAGAACTAGAAAATAAAAACAACTGCGTGAGGTCAGAGGCAATTGCTGTAACAGCACAGAGCATCTCCCTTTTCTTGTGCGTCTCCAGATTGTGAGTGATTATAGTGCACTACAGGCAGATGGTAAGCCCCATAAAGACTATTAGCTAAGATTTAGTATGGAGTTCCCTCTGGGCTCAGAGCACTTGTCTGCTGGCATTTATGGTGCTAAGCTCTAGAATATCAAGAAACTGAATGATTATTGCTAGAATGAAACTGATGTGCTGCTCAAGAAATAAAGAGAAAGACTTGTCGTCTGCATTTATTTCAGTTATCTAGGCTCTTTTGGAAATACTGGACTGTCCTGCTTTACATGATTTTAGAAGACTTTTTTTTATGAAATTAGCTCTCTTACAGACATTTTAGCAAAATGACATCAAGAAAAATGTTAAAATTGTTATTATGTATTGGTCCCAAATTTATTGGAGAAGGGTATGGTATTTGTTAAAAGAATATGAGGGCAAATTAATTTTCCCTAAATAATGACTTGCACAAATACATCAAATAAAACAAGGACTATTCTATACATATAAAAATAAGAAAACATTTAGATTTCATGTTGACTTTAAATATCCTTAAACCCATAATCTATGCACTGTAAAACCGAACAGTGAAAATTACTAAATGGAATAAGTTAGTTTAACTTTAAATGATTAACCTTAATTTATTAACCTTAGGGCAGCATGGTGGTACAGTGGGTAGCACAATTTCCTCACAGCAAAAGGTTGCTGGTTCGAGCCCTGGCTGGGTCAGTTGGCATTTCTGTGTGGAGTTTGCGTGTTCTCCCTGTGTTTGCGTGGGTTTCCTCCGGGTGCTCCGGTTTCCTCCCACAGTCCAAAGACTGCTACTTAAAACATATGCTGGATAAGTTGGCGGTTCATTCCACTGTGGCGACTCCATATTAATAAAGGGACTAAGTAAAGAAAATGAATGAATGAATGAATAATAAACCTTTAATATATATTTTTAAAGTTACTTTGACTCAATTAAAAGTTATGGTAACTCATAAACAGATTATAATAGGCAGAACTCAAATGGAATGAGTTATGAATTAACTAATTACACTGATACGAGCAATACCAAACTATTTGAGTAGCTATATATTTGTTGGGATTTAATTAATTTAAACTAAAGTAACTCATAGTGATTTGATGGCTGAATTTAAATAGTTTAAGTAACTAAAGTTTGACGATATCAACACAAATAATATATTTTTATATGACTCAATATATATAGTTGATGTCAGAATTATGAGCCGGTCTTTAAAAAAAAAATCTTTTTTAACTATTTCCCCAATGATGTTTAAAAGAGCAAGGAAATTTTAACAGTATGTCTGATAATATTTTTTTTTTTCTGGAGAAAGCCTTATTTGTTTTATTTCGGCTAAAATAAAAGCAGTTCTTAATTTTTTGAACACCATTTTAAGGACAAAATTATGAGCCCTCTTTGAGCAAATTTTTTTCTGATAGTCTACAGAACAAACCATTGTTATACAATAACTTGCCTAATTACCCTAACCTGCCTAGTTAACCTAATTAACCTAGTTAAGCATGTAAATGTCACTTTAAGCTGTATAGAAGTGTCTTGAAAAATATCTAGTCAAATATTATTTGCTGTCATCATGACAAAGATAAAATAAATCAGTTATTAGAAATGAGTTATTCAAATTATTATGTTTAGAAATGTGTTGAAAAAAGTTTTCTCTCCGTTAAACAGAAAATGGTAAAAAAAAAAAAAAAACAGGGGGGCTAATAATTCTGACTTCAAATGTATGTATATATATATATATATATATATATATATATATATATATATATATATGATGTTATATGATGATATATATATGATATATATATATATATATATATATATATATATATATATATATATATATATATATATATGTGTGTGTGTGTGTGTGTGTGTGTGTGTGTGTGTGTGTGTGTGTGTGTGTGTGTGTGTGTGTGTGTGTGTGTGTGTGTATATGTATGTATGTATGTGTATATATATATATGTATGTATGTATGTGTATGTGTATAAATGTGTAATACATATAAAAATATGTAAAAATGCACATATTTTAAAATATAGCAAAAATGGCCGTTTGCATATATTTTTCAACCATTGAAATTATAAATATGTACATATATATTTTAAAATTTTTGCTTTAATAATGAACACATCAAGCTGAAGTCAGGATTATTAGCCCTCCTGTGAAATTAAATTATTTTTCAAATATGTCCAAAGTACTATTTAAAGTAAGGAAGAATCATGTTTTCAACATAATAGTTAACTAATTTCTTTTATCAAAATTATGAGAGTACCAAAAACTTTTTCTAGTTATTTTGCAAGATACTAGTGTTCAGCTTAAAATGCAATTTAAAGGCTTAACTAAACTAGGTTATTATGATAATTAATCAGGATATGCCTTAAAAAATCTTATAGGGGCTAATAATGTTGACCATTAAATTTGTTTTTAAACCAGTTTTTATCCCAACCAAACTAAATAAACAGACCTTCTCCTGAAGAAAAAAAAAATTCTAGGAATAACCATAAAAAAATTATTTGCTCTGTTAAACAGCACTTAAAAAATTGACAGACAGGCTTATATTTCTGGCTTGAACTGTATATAAAATCATAGCTAATATATTTAGGCATATTTGTACATATGTGTTATTCCATTGGTTTTTAAATAAACAGAGGGTACGGAAAGTATTCAGACCCCTAAAATGTTTCACTTTTTGTTATATTGCAGTCATTTGCTAAAATTATTTAAGACAATGTCATATTTCAGTTTTTCTTTTTAAATAAATCTGCAAAAATGTCAACAATTAGGGTTTTCTGTCAATATGACAGTAATGTGTTCATTAATGAGAAAAAAATTTACTTAAATTATTTTAACAAATGACTGCGATATAACAAATGTGAAAATTTTAAGGGGGTCTTTATACTTTCCTTAACCACCGTATATGAAATCCATATACAATATGAATATCTGCAGCATTTGTGTTTATTGCACATTTCTATATGGTAATTTTAAATGTATTACATGAGATGTAGCAAAGATGTAGCAATGGGATAAGCTGTAGCAGTGATAGATCCTAGTGACACTTTGTAGGATCACATGAGGTTACACAGCACAGTCTTACAGGGAAGTGAAATGTCACGCTGTCGTAAGATGATTGTAAAGGAAAGCCTCTCTAACGTCCTAAAGCTCTCTCCCCGTCACAGGATCAACAGAAGTTCAGCAGTGAAGGTGAATGCAAACTCCAAGGTCAAATCTAATACTTTAAACTGTCAGATGTGCATCCCTAAAGACAAAACCTTATATTTTTCTGGTTTCATTTTCAGCACTGCAAACAAGTTCAATGTTTCTATGACAGATAAACAGGGTCATTAAATAGCAGTGCTTAATGGTGCAGTTTATCTGTGCTGCACATATAATTCCCCCTGTGCTAATGGTTGTAGAATAAAGATTTGTATTAAACAAACGATCGGCCCTGTGTTAGTTAAGAGACATTTACATGCAAATGGGTTGTAGAGTCTTAAAGGAGGACTACATGTCTTTTACTGCTGAAAGCCTGCTGGTGTGAAGAACACAGAAGCCTTTTCTGTGTTTGCGTGAGGAACTGTTCTGTCTTGTTTTGTCATATATGCAAAACATACAGTCCTAGACAGAGAATAATACAACAATGATGAATGGACAAAGGGACAGTTCAAACAAAAATGTTAATTTCTTCAAACTCGGTTGATTCTGAATTTGAACCAAAACAAAATATTTTGAAAAATGTTGGAAACCAGCAGTCATTGACATCCATAGTCAGAACAAAATACTATGGAATTCAATAGCTGTTGCTTTTCAACAATATTCAAAATTTCTTATAGGTGTTCAACAGAATGAGAAATTGAGTATGGTGAGTAAATCATGACAGCATTTGATTGTTTGGTG